CTTCTTCTTCCTTTTCCCTCTCTTCCTCCTTTATTCCAAATTATGTCCATAACAAAAAATTTGATAAATCACACTCCAAAGCTCCATATTAAACCGCCATATTTATTTATTCTTCAACTTCTCACTATCAATCACACTCCAAAGCTCCGTATTAGAGAAAAGTCTACACCTATTATTATAAAATAAACTCATCGGATCAAGGAAGATGGAGAAATCAGGTCTGATTTTGTAGTATGAATGGGTCAAAAGAAACTGAAAAGCAAATAGTGTTCGTTGCTTTCTGATTTGCTGAAATTATTTTCTGATTAGTTAGGAAAAATTGGGTCTCATTTCGATCATGGTCGCTGCTTTCTAATTTGCTAAAATTATTTGTTGATTTGTTGCGAAAGGTTGGGTCTGATTTCAATCATGGTAAAAGTTGTTCACTGCTACATGATTTTTCTCTTTGATCTTTGGAGGTGGTGATTTTTGTCTTTTAGTTTTGGTGATATTTTCCTTGTAATTTTTGGTGGTAAAAGGTTTTGCAGATGGTTCATATTTTCTCAGTGAGAAAAAGATAAACAATGAAAGTGAAAGGTATTGGGTGGGATAGAAAAAAGACAATCACCGGAGCCGTTGCCGATGATAAAATCTAAAGTTTTTCAAATTGATTCCCAGTTCGGTAAGGTTTTTTCCGGCGAGTTCTGAGGGAGTGGAAGGAATATGTGTAGAAAAAATTAGTTTGATAAAAAAAGAAAAAAAGAAGAAAAAAAAGAGAAGTGGGACCTTGAACATCCAGGTGTCCACAAAAATGTGAATGAATGCATGATGCGACTATACAAAATATTAAATTAAATCCATGTCAGTAGCAATTGAACAACACGCACCATCACAAGTGTTTATTAGGTGCCATTTTCTCAAGTAAAGGTGTTCAAACGGGAAACCCAAGAGTTCATATATCGGCTTTACAAAGTGATGCAAGTTTAAGTGGTCAGGAAGCCATTTCGCCTTTTCTAAACACTTTCTAATTATCTTTCATTATAAAACTATGATTCATAATACATTTTTTTTTTGTAATTTTTAAATATAATAAGGTATTTTTATATAAATTTAGTATCTAATTTTACACTAAAAATGCAGGTTGGTACTCCCAAACCCTACTTATGGGAATATACAGGGTTTGAGAATATGCAGGTTGGTACTACTAACTCGAAGAACTTATCCGGATCTAAGTTCGAGACCAAGCAGAGGCGTATTCGGTTCATTTGAACCTCGCTAGTTCTGACGCTAAGTATAAATTTAGTGTAAAAATTCACTAAAACATGTAACACATAGTGGGTTTGAACACGTAACATAAAAAATATAATAGGTTCAATATTAAGAACCTTAAAAGTTGAACCCACAAAGTTCAAATCCTCGATCCGCCTCTGACACTAAAGCATACTAATTTATCATTGTTGAGTGATGCGTTGAAGTAACACTAATGTCACTCAACCATATATTAAAAGACTATTAAATCTTGTACGGAGAACATATATCATGCACTTATTTATTTGATGCATAATAGATCGAGCAGATACAATGCATATCTTATGAGTTAATATAAACCCAATAGTTTGGATTCAAATTTTATACACTATTAAAAAATTATTAAAAAATACAAGTAAAAAATTTCAAACTCAACAAATCAAATAAGATATATTAAAATCTTGAACCATAAAGTGTAAATTTCGGATTTGCCTCTAATAATAGAAATATTTTCCGAAATCTTTAACATGTTTTTATTTACTCTTTATTTTCCACTTCATTTAACATTTACACGTTTCTCTCTCTCTCTCCCCCTTCACTTCATTCTTTACTGTAAAACTCTTCGGGAAAGAGAGATTGGTCTACATTTCAGATTGAGAAAAAGCAGATTCATGAAGGGGCTAGTAAGTACGTTATTTTATTATTATTATTAATTTTTTTTTACAATTCTCCGTTGCAAATAATTGAGTATTATTCATCTTTATTTGCTGTTGCTTAATTGACTTTTTTAACACTAGTCCAGTACTTGATATTCAATTTAATCGCAACTTTTTTGCTACAAATTGAGTGTTAGAGCTGTTTTTTTGTGTGGTTCTTACTGAAAAATGCTTATTTGGGTGTCCAAAATTGGTTATTATGTCAACCTTTTTTGAGATTTACTTGGTGTTGAAATTGCGTTGCTATGTTTTTATCTACATTGTCTTTTTTCATGGAAATAATTAGTTTAAGATTTCAATTTAATTGGATTTTTTGGTATTAAAAATTGATTCTTGGAGCTGATTTTTTGTTCTGTCCTTTTAATAGAGTTCTCAACACTTTTTTTTTTGCTCTTACTGAAAATTGCTTATTTGGGTGTCCTAAATTGATTATTACGTCAATTTCTTTAGAGATTTGCTTGATCTTGAAATTGGGTTTCTATGTTTTTGTCTACATTGTCTTTTTTCATGGAAGTAATTAGTTTAGGATTTCAATTTAGTTGGGTTTTTTTTGTGCTAAAAATTGAGTCTTGGAGCTGAATTTTTTACTGTCCTTTTTTTTTGGCTGTTACAGAAAAAATGCTTATTTGGGTGTCCTAAATTGGTTATTACGTCAATTTCTTTAGAGATTTACTTGATCTTGAAATTGGATTCCTATGTTTTCGGCTACATCGTCTTTTTCATGAAAATAAATACTTGGTTTCAAGATTTTAGGAGTTTGTTTGCAATCCTAAGCGTTTTGCAATTTTGCTCTTTTGTATTTTACTTGGTGCTTTCCAAAATCTACTCTTTGTAGAATGTGGACAAAGTATAAAGTGTTTTAACTATATTTTTGGCCTAAGTGTGCAATACTGTGTTTAATTTTCTTTATATTTTCATCTTCCTCAAGCATCTGTATCCGACAAAATAATGTGATAGATAAAAGCGAAGACCCCTTTTTTTTTATATTCCTTTTAATGTGGAAGGGGAGTGTAACTGGTAAAGTTGCTGCTATGTGACCAGGAGGTCACGGGCTCGAGTTATGGAAACAGCCTCTTGCAGAAATGCAGGGTAAGGCTGCGTACAATAGACCCTTGTGATTCGGTCTTTTCCCGAACCACGCGCACAGCGGGAGCTTACTGCACCGGGTTGGCCTTTTTTTTTTCTTTTTTAAAGTGAAGAAATGCTAGAATTGAAGATTTCCTATATAATATTGGAGGGACATGGAACCATGATAATGTATTGCTAGCTTGTTAACTGACCACTTCCCGCATTCCTCGTTGTCTAAATCTCTTGCCTGCATGTGTATTACTATTGATTACCGAGGACATTGACTTAAAAAATTATGAATGACCATTTCCTTTTTTTTTTCTAGGCAGTGCTAATTTTGTTGTCGGCACTAAGTCAAAGTATAGAACATATTGAAGCTCAATTTGATGGTGAATGCAAATTCAACAAGCCTCTGGATCCCAGACCTCACAGTGCATCGGTGTTGGATTTTGGGGCTGTGGGTGATGGAGAGACTATAAATACAGTGCCGTTCCAGAATGCCATTTTCTATCTCAAGTCCTTTGCTGACAAAGGCGGGGCACAGCTCTATGTTCCAGCTGGCAGGTGGCTGACCGGAAGCATAAAGCTTACCAGTCACCTTACACTCTTCCTCGAAAAAGAAGCCGTTATTCTGGGATCACAGGTTAGCACGTTCACTGGTTCTGAAGTTCCTACTTATTTGATATATTTGTGTTCTTTGAGATAGATAGGATGCTATTGTATCACAAAGGGTGAATCATTAACTCTTGGAAGGAAATTATTAGCCTGAGATCTTGTAGTACTTAGCGATGAGGTGTTGTGGTTTAACTGTTACTCACTCCATCCCAATTTATGTGCACTCTTTCCTTTTAGTCAGTTCCAAAAAGAATGTTATCTTTCCTTATTTTTAGAAACAATTTATCTTTGGAATTCCTGCTTTACCATTAATGAATTGATTTACAGCCACACAAATGATATATGGTTTGTTTTAGACCACAAGTTTCAAAAGTTTTATATCTTTCTTAAACTCCATGCCGAGTGCAACACCGCCACGTAAATTGGGATGGAGAGAGTATAAAATTTATTGAAGTCTACATTCAGGTAACTCCAACAGAGAAGATGATACATGTTCTGCATAATATGTTGTAATGATCTAATTATAATGTTTGTAGCTGCATTATTATGGTGGAGACTAGCTCCATACACATTCATATATAATTATATGTTTTGCGATGCAGGATTATGCTCATTGGGATATAGTTGAAGCCTTACCCTCTTATGGTGGAGGTATTGAAGCACAAGGTGGAAGATATCGCAGCTTGATTTCAGGAAATAATCTAATTGATGTTGTGATAACAGGCAGGAATTCCTTCATTGCATTGATCTACTAATTTGATGTTTCTGTCTTTGGCCCCACCCGCGGCCAGCTTATGCCTATTGCTTATGCAGGTAATAATGGAACTATTGATGGTCAGGGTTCTATATGGTGGGAGCAGTTCAGTGCACATTCGTTAAATTATACTCGACCACACCTTTTCGAATTTGTTAGCTCCAAAGATGTTGTCGTTTCAAACTTGACCTTCCTGAACGCTCCGGCCTGGAATATTCACCCGGTATATTGTAGTAATGTGGTGGTTCAGAACATAACAGTTCATTCTCCGGCTAACTCCCCATATACCTATGGGATAGTCCCAGGTCGGTTTAAAATTAAAATTATTTCTTACCTTTGTATACAATTATGAAGGTTTGCAACTTTTTGTTCGGAGTAATGTGAGACCTTATATGCATTTTCAGATTCTTCTGAGCATGTATGCATTGAGAACAGCAACATTAGCATGGGTCATGACGCCGTTGTTCTTAAAAGCGGTTGGGATGAGTATGGAATTTCCTATGGGAAACCTACCACAAGTGTCCATGTTCGAGGGGTTAGGCTGCAGTCTTGTGCAGGTTCTGCCTTGGCTTTTGGTAGTGAGATGTCTGGCGGTATTTCCAATGTACTAGTAGAGCATGTTTACCTACATGACTCCCTTTTCGGGATTGAGCTGAAGACGGCAAGAGGAAGGGGTGGTTATATCAAAGATATTATCGTTACAGGCGTGGTTATGGCAAACGTGCAAGTGGGAATCGAGGCCACTGGTCATTGTGATTCTCATCCAGATGAGAAATTTGATCCCTCTGCACTTCCAGTTGTTAGTGGCATCACTTTTGAGGACATTGTCGGCACAAATATTTCCACAGCAGGCAATTTCTCTGGATTATCTGAATCTCCCTTTACTTCAATATGTCTATCAAACGTCACCTTTTCCGCTTCTACCAACCCTACACCATGGCTATGCTCTGATATATCTGGTTCTTCTCAAAATGTGTCTCCTGATCCATGTCCCGAGCTTCAGAACTCATTTTCCGGTACTACTTCAACTTGCTTCGCCCTCTTGCACCCTTATAGTCAAGTTGCAATTTCGTAAACAATTCACTTCCTTGCGCCAATACAAACGAGACACATTTCAACTTCCAGTTCTGTTGTACAATTCTACAATAAGATTGCTGATTGTTGCCTGTGTATAGCATCAGTTTCTTCATTCACATAGGTAGTAAATTCAGATGAGGTGTTTGTTTCTTGTCATTTGTTCATTTGATTTTCTAGTCATTTGTTTTACATTTGTAAATTAGATAGCAATTGGTTAATGCTGGATGGTTGAAGAAGGGATGTTGTAGTTGATTGTTAATAACTTTTTTTTCTCCATTTAATTGAATTGATATTTTAGTTCCCAAGTTTTGAGCTGAATACTGGTATCAAACTACAATTTCTGAAGGTTGTATCATGTTTTTTTTTTTTTTTTGGCCCTTGTGGTCCGACCCTTTCCCGGCGGGTATAGCGGGAGCTAGTGCTCGGGTTCCCCCTTCTTTTTTTTTATAACTATCCGGCATCTGAAACTCACTAGCTCAACTAATCTATATTCGTGTCGGCTTAGGGCCCATTAAATGAGGTAAACGCTTCCTATTAAAGGTTTTTTCATTCTCAGCGCTCGAATCTAAATTTCTGGTTAACAGTAGAGCGATCTTTCACCATATCTAAATGTCGTCATATCAATACTAGAATACATCATGGCAAGATTTGTAATAGAGACAACTCTTTTTCTTTTTTTTTTTTCCTTCTTTTTTTGGGGCCATTTTAGTAAATTGAGAAGTAATCCTAGTCCACAAATTCTTTGTGTTCAAGATGTCAAACTGCAATTTCTGAAATTCTTGCTTTTTGAGATGACTTATAAGCCCGTTTGGACATAAGAATTTTTTCAAACTTTTTTCAAAAAAAATTCACTTTTTTCAAAATCAGTGTTTGGCCATAAAATTTTTCAATTTTCAATTGAAGATGAATTTTGGAATTTTTCGAAAATTTGAAAAACTCCGAAAAGCTGTTTTTCAAAAATTTCACTCAGATCACTCGCAAAACTTCAAAAACAACCCAAAATTATATTCATGTCCAAACACAACTCTAATTTTTATTTTAATTTTCACTTTCTTTTTTTTGGAATTTTACAATTCTTATGTCCAAACATCCACTTAATGTTGTCATGTCAAAATTAGAAGACAGTATAGCAAGATTTATAATGGAGACAAGTCTTAGCTATCAGCACCTTACTTTGTTTTGTACCTTCTTGTTGTTTCCTTTGGATCGTTTGGCATTTAGTTTTTGAGTAGATGGGTGGAGGGGATCTACCAGAATTTTCAAACTAAACAGTAAATTTTGTTGACTGCCAGGGGAAAATAATGTAAACTATATAAAAGAATTAATCTAAATAACTGTCCAACCAATCACTTAATATTACTTTATAATTAAAAAGGGCAGCTAGATGGACTACGCTCTTGCTATGGGTAGGATCCAAGGAAGGGCCGGATCATAAGGGCTCGTTTGGTATGAGGGATAAGGAATATTTAATTCCTAGACTAAATTTAAGAAGAGTTTATCCAATGTTTGGTTGGGAGAAAATTGCGGTACAGTCAGACCTATCTATAACAACATCCCTATATAACAACATTTCATTATAAAAGCCAAATTTTTTCGGAACCAATTTTTATGTTATATTATACTATATGTTCTCTATAACAATACTTCGCTATAACATTCAAAAATATTCGGAACAAACGAGACTGTTATAAAGAGGTTTGACTGTATAATTAATTTCGGGATTAGTTATTCCGGGATTATAGTATTTTCTTATCCCCATGGAAAGGTGGAATAACTAATCCCGAGATAATTAATCCCGGATTAACTTCTTTCCAACCAAACGACCCCTAAGGGTCTATTGTACGCAGTCTTGCCCTGCATTTCTGCAAGAGGCTGTTACTACTGCTCGAATCCGGCTTCGAGGTCACGTCACATCAACTTTACCAATTACAACTTTCCTTCTCTAATTACTATATCAAAAGGCTACGTGTAACTTTCTAGACCATTACAATTCATTTATCAGGTGCACATCTCCTCCAGCAAAGCAAAGTGAAAGCGTAGAACTAATATCACCAGAAAACGAGAAGCCTTAAGTAAATTCATTCATTTTTTCAATATCGAGAAGTCTTATCTCTAAATTTACTAATATTTCCACCCGTGATATCATCTTTTCCGACAACTCAATATTTTCCGGTAATGCGTTGCATAAATCTCAATTTTTTAAGTAGTTTTAACACTTTTAATACTCTAGGACATTATCACTACCTTTACATGAGTAGATATCATAAATTTTCAGAGAAGACTAAAGAGGAAGAGAATAAATGAAAATTTAAAATTAGATTATTTTTAAATATAGAAATGTATCATTCTTTTTGGAACGGACTAATAAGGAAAGTGTGTCATTTAAATTGAAACAGAGGGAGTAAGTAAAAGAGCTTTTATCAAATTTGTCAATGGAACAATAGTTCGAGCTTCAACTGAACCTCAATGGTAATGAGAGATTGACCTTCACGCCATGAGAGAAGAAGGAAGAATGAGAAATGAATCTTCCAAATTCTGTTTCTCTAATTGAATTCGAAGTGGAGAACCAACTATATACAAAATGTGTCTGAATATAAATGAAAGAAAGCAAAACATAACTGACTAACTAACAAGTGAGTTGGCTACAATTGTCAACCCAACGACCTAACTACTGTTACACTAACCAACTGAGAATTAAGCTAAGTAGAGCTACTAATTTACATAATTAATCTTAACACCCCCCCCCCCCCCTTAAGTTGGAGGTGTAGTAAACACAACCAACTTGCCCAATGTAGCACTATGTTTGATTTCAGTCAAAGCCTTTGTGAGGATGTCTTTTGAGCTGATTATCTGTTCTGGTGTGTTGGAGTGAAATCAATCCTGCTTGTAGTTGATCACGCAAAAAATGGTAATCCACTTCTATATGCTTGGTTCTTTCGTGGAAGACTCGATTTCTGGCGATGTGGATGGCAGACTGCTATCACAGAAGACTGAGATGGGCATAGAAAAAGGGACAGTCAGCTCTTCAAATAATCTGCCCAGCCATACCAATTTCCCCACTACTTTCCTCAGGGCCCTATACTGTGCTTCTGCAGAGGACAAAGAGATAGTCTCTTGCTTCTTAGACTTCCAGCTGATGGGGTTATTGCCTAGAAGTACCAAGTAACTTGTAATAGATCTCGTGGAGTCTTGGCAGGCTGCCCAATCATAGTCACAGTAGGCTCTAACTGTATGGTCTGCATCTTTTGATATGAAAATCTCTAGATTAGGATCATTTTTCAGGTATTTGAGCATGTGAAATGCTGCCTTCAGACGAGGTTCTCTGGGCTCTTGCATGAATTGACTTAAGTGTTGAACACTGTATACAATATCCAACCTGGTATTAGTTAGGAAATTCATTTTACCTACCAGCTTTCTATAGTAAGTAGGATCCTGGAGAATGGTGCATTCCCTAGCGTTTAACTTTATAGTGGGATCTAAGGGTGAGGAACAAGAACTATGATCCAAGAAATTGTATTCTTTCAGTAAGTCCAACATAAACTTCCTTTGGGATATAATGACATCATCATCTTTGTACATGACTTCCAACCCCAAAAAGTAATGAAATTGCCCCAGGTCTTTGCTCTTGAATTGCTCATGTAGAAAAGCTTTGAGTTGTGCAATTGCCTCCTGGTCGGTCCTAGTAAGCAACACATTATCCACATATAATGCAACATAGTCTGAGGACTCTCCATTCCTTTTGTAGAAGAGTGAGTAGTCATTCGTGGAATGTGTATAACCTTTTAAACACAATGATTCGGTCAAATTTGCATACCACTGTCGACTAGTTTGTTTTAAGCCATAGGGGGATTTATTTAGTTTACAAACCAGTCCTGGTTTATCCACTACAAGTCCAGGTGGAACTTGCATATACACTTCCTCAAGGAGATCCCCAAGGAGGAAAGCATTGTTCACATCTAATTGGGATATGGCCCAAACTTTCTTAACTGCAATGGCTATCAATGCCCTTACTGTTGCCATCTTCACCACTGGTGAAAATGGTTTTGTGTAATCAATTCCTGCCTGCTGAGTGTAGCCTTTGACAACCAATCTAGCTTTAAACCTTTCAATGCTACCATCAGCTTTATGTTTCACCTTGTAGACCCATTTGCAACCTATTGCCTGCTTCCCAGGTGGCAATGGAACTAAGTACCAGGTGTGATTGGAATATAATGCTTCAAATTCTTGGGTCATTGCAACCTGCCATGCAGTATCAATAGCTACCTCCACATATGATGATGATTCCCTGTCATGACAAATATTTCTCACAAGAACCTGACTATTGGGAGTTAGTAGATCAAATATTTGGTTTTAGGTTGGGAAGATAATTTACATAGTCTTTCAGATAACCAGGTGGCCTATGTAGTCTTTGAGATTGTCTCAATTGTAGAGGTTCTACAGAGGGTTGTTCAGTATAATGTTGTGGTAAATAAGGTAGTGGAGATACAAGTACTATAGAAGGTAATGGAGAAGCAACAGGTGCATGTGACATAGAGTTGTGTGTGATATCAGGACTCCTTTGATCAATGAGAACATCAGACATATGTTGTGCAGTGTTTGTATCACCAGAAGGTTCTTCATATAGGGACTCAATGAAGGGAATGGAATGAGGAACATGAGGTTGAGAAGATGCATTCATGCTGACTGCAAAGGGAAAAATGAACTCATTAAAGACTACATCCCTGCCTGGAAATATGGATCTTCATAGTGGCTAGACTCAAAACTTTGTACCCTTTCGTGTTGAAAGTATAACCAACAAAGACATGTGGTGTTGTTCTAGGCTCAAACTTGTCCCTGTGTGATTTTGGTACAGTAGGATAGCAGAGACACCCAAAGCTCTTTAAATGGGAATATTTTGGTTTTCTTTTGTACAATAACTCATATGGAGTCTGGTTTTTAAGAGAGGTAGAAGGCAATCTATTTATAATGTAGGTGGCACAAAGAATATACTCTCTCGAGTACTTTAGTGGCAACTTGGATTGGAAGAGTTGTGCTCTGGCTATTTCATGGAGGTGCTTATGTTTTCTTTTCACCACACCATTCTGTTGTGGTGTATAGGGGCAGGTTCTTTGGTAGATAGTACCTTTAGATTGGAATAGCATACTTGCTTCTATCTTGGTGAACTCTAACCCATTATTTGACCTTATGGCCTTGACAGTCACAACAAATAATGGGTTAGAGTTCACCAGCATAGAAGCAAGTATGCTATTCCAATCACAACAAATAGATTTTCCACCAGATTAATAAAGCATTTGGGCACTTGGAGAGCATTGCTCTTGCTAGATAAGAGGTGAGTCCAGGTGGATCTACCGAAGTCATCTACCATAGTGATAAAGTATTTGTGTCTGTCATGTGTGGGGACATGATATGGGCCCCTAGATCAACATGTAGTAGTTCAAAAATTCTGCTAGTTGTACTAGTTCTCTGAGGAAATAGGAGTCTTTCTTGCCTAGCCATGGGGCAAATGGTACAATTAAAAGGTTGTTTCGGAGAGAAGGTTACAGGAATAGAAGAAATAATTTTCATTTTGATAAAAGGGACATGTCCAAGCCTATTGTGCCACAACACATCCATATTATCTCCATAACACAAATGAAAAGATGCATTAGAAAATGAAGTCATAAGAGAAAATTGTCCTCCATTATTTGCACATGGACTATTCACAACTGGATGAAAGGAAACACACTTATTGACATGTGATGACTTATTTACAACAGAATGAAAAGGACACTGTGTGTTGCAAGTGCAATAAGTAAAGGTAGTTGATAAAACATCAGAGGTCTTTACTGCAGGGCTTGCACTGTTGCTCTTTAAGCAGCTTGGGCACAGGATATACACTTCATCCTTGACCAATCACCAGAGGCCTCTTCATTGAAGAGGCCTGCAGTATGAAATAGTGTTTAGCAAAGGCAACAAGACAATTGAGGTGAGAATCCAAAGAATGAACATAAATCAAATTGTATCTAAAAGAAGGGACAAACATTACCCTGTCTAAAGTGATCTTAGGAGTGAGTATCACATTACCAATCTCCGTCACCTTTACTTTGTAGCCATTTGGAAGTATAACTAATAAAGGATAGGGTAAGGTTATTATACTGTTTAATAGGGATATGTTAAAAGTCATGTTGTTTGATGCCCCTGAATCTATAATCCATGAGTCAGTCTTGTTTTTGAAACATTCACAAGACAACTTACCAGAATCAATAGAGGATGTGCAAGCTATAATACCTACAAAGTTTGCTGCTCCAGTTGGAATGTTGGCACTACTTATGCAATCTCTTCCTCCTCCTGATTGAAACTGCTGCAACAGACTCACTAACTGACCATATTCCTCTTTGGTGAGGCTCACATTTTGAGCATTATCATGAGCAACAGGTCTCTCACTATCAGCAGATTGTGTATCTGTGGTTGCCACATATGCATTGGCCACCGCTCTATTTCCTCTATTGAACTTACTATTCTGGTTACCATGGGATTATGATAATAATTGAAATTTTGTCTTGGATTCTGATTAAAGTTGGAGACCTGATTATGATTTAAGTTTGGATTCTGATTTTGATTGAAACTCTGAGGTTATCCATGAAGCTTATAACATTTCTCATTGGTGTATCCTGGTCTCTTGTAGTGATCACAGAATGGTCTATTTCTATTATTGTGATTGTTGTTAGGAGAGCAATTAGTCCTGAAGGACCCTGGCCTGCTTGTGCTAGCATTCAAGGCTGCTGATTCAAGAGCTAGATGGTTATTTGGCATAATTTCTCTCTGTCTTTCCTATTGAATTAGTAGTGAGAAAGCCTGGGCAATTGAGGGAAAAGAATTCATCATGAGTATACTACCTCGAACTACAGTGTATGTCTCATTCAGTCCCATAAGTAACTGTATGAACCTCGTTAAGATTTGTGTGTACTTTCCTTGGCCCCACACGTGTAATTGCAAGTACAATGAGATTTTGGCAATCAAATTGTTGAGTTCCTCCCAAAGCTTCTTTATCTTAGTGTAGTACCAGTATTGTCAAGAGTTCCTTGGGATAGATAATTGATTTCCTTTTGAATTTGGTACAGTTTTGTTCCATTAGTTTGATCATATCGATCTTCAAGTTCTCTCCATAATTCGATTGCGTCTATCACATACTCAACATTATCTGCAATTTCCTTAGCTAGAGAGTTTAGAATCTATGAAGTTACCATGTTATCGCACCTTTCCCACAATCGATTCTTCAATGAGTTTGGATATGGTCTTTTGCATTCCCCATTGATGAAACCTAGCTTTATTTTCACCGATAGGGCTCGTATTACACCTCTTCTCCATGAACGGTATCCAAAACCATTAAATGGAACAGGAACCAGTGCTGCTCCAGGATTATCAGATGGATGCATGTAAAAGGGGCTACTGGTATCAACAATTGGCTGATTAGGAGATTCAGCCATGTTCATTATCATCGATAATAGTCATCTCACACAATATGAATATTCCAACTGATTGAAGATTATAAATGTAGAAATTACAGATCTAAGAAGCTAATAGTGAACAGAGTACAATTTTTCCAAAATTACGACTCGAGATCGATGAAAAACGAAACTTGCATGAGCACGATTTAATCGAAATGCAGAATGATGGATTGGGATCTAACAGAATCAAAAAAATGAGTCAAAACCTGTGATTGGCTCTGATACCATATCAGATTTGTCAATGGAACAGTAGTTCGAGCTTCAGTTGAACCTTAATGGTGATGAGAGATTGATCTTCACGCCATGTGAGAAGGGAAGGGCGAGAAGAAAGAAGAAGGAGAAATGAATCTTCCAGAATCTGTTTCTCTGATTGAATTCGAAGTGGAGAACCTATTGTATACAAAATGTGTCTGAACAAAAATGAAACAAAGCAAAACATAATCAACTAACTAACAACTGAGTTGGCTACAACTGTCACCCTAACGACCTAACTACTGCTATACTAACCAATTGAGAATTAAGCTAAGTAAAGCTACTATTTTACATAATTAATCGTAACAGTTTTAATAATTTTCTGTCAACAATAGAGTATAATACTACTAGGGGTAAAATTATCATACTGTAGTTGTTCACATTTATAATAAATAATATAAAGGAATTGTTATAAAAAAATCAAAATAAGGAGACAAGTGTAATATCATAAACCACAAGGGAGGTATTATGATAAAGCGAAACGTAAGGGGAGGTATCTGAAATTATTCCTAAAATTTAACCACGGAGAATTAATTGATACACTATTGTACATTAAATAGATCTCAATTTTGGGATTGTTAGTCCTTTTACTTGTTACTTTGTTCTTTCCTTCTTTTTTTGGTAAGGGGTGTGGGGGGCCCGATGTCTGTGTTTCTAGCTAATTAGGAATTATTGATAGTCTATTATAAAAATTTACATTTTGTACCTCTTTTAACTTTGTTATTTTTTTTGGTAACTAACCAATTTTTCTATTAAACCCTACTAGATTTAGGTGTATATATTCTATCCCAGGCTATTAGAGCCTTTTTTGTGATCACATTACTCCAGACCATGTGTAGCTTTTGCAGTTTGAAATCTTCAATTGAAGTTAATAGTTGCGACTAATATGATTGTATACCAAAGAGAGCAGTTTGGACAAGTTGTACTCTGGCAGCATATGAGAGTTTTTTTTGCTGTCCAGGAGGAGTTCTTGGCAAATATCTTCTCTATCAAAGGTTGCTACTGTATCAATGAAAGTTTCTTATTGCAAGTGGAATACCTAGGTATTTGAATGCTAGCTCCTCCAATGTGAAACCTAAATGCTGCAGGATATTCATTCTCACAACCTGAGGGACTCCACCAAAATAAACCAAGCTTTTCCCCAGATTAGCCTGTAGCCCCGATACTTGAGAGAACTGCCTAAAACATAAGTGGATGGCAAAGACTGAAGGTAGGTCACCTCTAGCAAATAGTAGGATGTCATCCGCATAATTAAGATGTGTGATCCCTAGTTTTCGCACATCTTGGGTGGAATTTGAACTCCTTCACTTCTTTGAGACCATTGAGACTTCTACTAAAATACTCCATAACTATGGCAAATAAAAAGGGAGAGATGGGATCTCCCTGTCTCAAACCTTTAGCAGCATTAAATGGTGGGGTGGATTCTCCATTTATCATGATAGTATAGTTAACAGTGGCATCACATTCCATTATCCATTCAACAAATCTCATAGGAAAACCCAGCTCTATTAGAACCTACTCCAAAAAACTCCACTCAACTGAATCACATGCTTTTTGGAGATCAATCTTGATCATGCATCTATCAGAAATATGTTTCCTTGTATATGCCTTCACTAGCTCATGTGCAAGAATAATGTTATCAGCAATTTTCCTGCCAAGAATGAAACCATCCCGTGTTTCACATATGATAAAGGCAATAACTTATTGTATTCTTATTGCTAGCACTTTAGATATTAGTTTGTAGAGCATGGTGCAACAGGCAATTGGTCTATAATTCTTGACTGTGTTAGGACTGGGTATTTTAAGCACCAGCGTGAGAGTAGTGCACTTAACAGTTTTATACAGTTTCCCAGTGATAAAAAACTCTTTCACAGCTTGAGATACTTCCTCTTTGATGATCATCCATGCCTTCTTAAAGAAGTAGGCATTGTAACCATCAATACCTGGAGCTTTGTCATTGTTAATAACACATAATCCATCATAGATTTCTGGAACAGTGAACTCTGCACATAGAGAAACCTTTTGTTGTTGTGACAAAACTGACCCATTCCTCATAACCACCCTGTTTATTGCAGGAAGAGAGTGGGCCGCTGATCCTATTAGAGACTTATAAAACTCAATAATTTCCTGCTTTATGCTGTCAGGGTGAATAAGTTTATCTCCCGTAAGATCCACAATTTCAGTTAGCTGCTTCTTCTGACTTTTTCTTTCACGAAAATTGCAAAATACTTGGTATTTGAATCACCAAGTTTAATCCATTTTGCTCTAGATATCTATTTCAAGACACTTTCCTCTTTTAGAGACCATTTTTCTAGATTCTGAAATACACTCATCTCTTTTTCAAGCAGTGTATTATTACATGTTGTATTGATCTTCTCCTGTATGTTCTCTAGGTCCATTCTAGCATGTTCAATCTTTAAGATGATAGTTCTGAAATGTTCATTATTCAAAGTTTTGAAATGTGGTCCTAGGGCCTTCAACTTCATCCTAATATTCTTCATCTGGTAAGTTGCATATAATTGTCTCCAAATCCTTTTCATAATGGCAATGAAACTATCATGCTCAGTCCAAACATTAAAGAATCTGAATAGTATTTTGCCATATTTTGGAGCTGAGTGTAATGTTAGTATCATAGGAGCATGATAAAAAATAAATGGCAGCCCATACTCAATAGTCACATGCCCCCACTACATCATTCATTCAAAGTTGCCAAATGCTATGTCAAGTCTGATACATACTCTATCTGCACTATGTTGTTTGCTCGACCATGTGTAATACTCTCCTTTCCAAGGTAGTTCATTCAATGATAGTGTGGTCAAGCAATCAGAAAATTCCTGGATTTCTGTATAGTTAATAGGGTTACCCAGTAGTCTATCATTAGGATATAACACAACAGTGAAATTACCACACAGTAGCCAAGGTTTAGTGATTCTTACTGCTAACTCCTTTAAAGTCTCTCATAGTTATTTTCTTTGTTCTAGAGTATTATAACCATTAATGGTTGTAAGTTCACAATCCACCACACCTAGTCTATCATGTACTAGACAATGTATAAGCTGAGCTTCTATTCTCAACAATGTAACAACAAACCATTAGGGATCACATATGAGCCATAGCCTTCCATTTGGTGCATGTTGGTAGTTTGTATAAGAGTTCCAACTTGGGATTATATTCAACATCTTCGTGTTTGCATTATGTTTTTTGACTCTACTTTCAATTATACTAGATAACTTTATTTTCTGGCTACTAATATACTTCCTTAACTCTTTCTATTTGTATCTCTTATTTACACTTCTGATATTCCAAAATAGCCACTTCATCAGTATATCACGTTACCCCTACCCTTATCAGGTGGTAAGGAATTTATAATCCAACTTTCACTTTACAATGGCTCAAATACATTTTTCACTGAGATAGATGATAGTGTTGGAAAATTTACCATATTTAGTTCAGGCATTGTCTCTGCAGCTTTGCTTTTATTTATTCTTGAATCCAAGTTGTCTCTCTGATGTTGTATTGGAGTTTGAAAGTTGCCCCTCTTCTCTTGTGTTTGAACTCCAGAAGGTATCATCACATTCTCTCTGCCCTATGGAACTTCTTTACTCTACTGAGAAGGTTGAACATACATTGGATTGTTCTGTGTCTGTTGCTGAACTTATTCCTCTAGTTGAGTGGCCTGATTATCTCCTCCATTCAATGGGCCTTTGAATCTCCATTCCATTGTTACCTTCTTAGGTTCTCTTCTCCTTACAGGTTATTTCATTTGTTGATTGTTTGGTCACTGCTCTGTGCCACACCACTAGCCATTTCTGGCAATACCTAGGCTTCCAGTCATATCTGACTATTTATTTGAATTTCCTTCCATTAGGATCCTAACAACTATCTCCAAAGGCATCTCTTTAGTGATGTTAACGTCTATTAGCATCCTTGCAAACTCTAGTTTTCTTTGCAGTGCACTCATCTACGTAAATAGGAATCCCAATTGCACTAACCATTCTGCTTAAAGAGTCATGACTCCAACAATTCATAGGCAACTTGGGGAATTGGATCCATAAGGGGATTTCAGTAGGGAACTCTTTATTGAAGTCAAAATCTGGTGTCCAAGGTTTTAGGATAATAGGTCTATTGTTGATCGTGTATGGCCCAGAGTAATAGATCTCACGCATGTGTGCTATAGTCTGAAATTTAATAATGTAATAGCCCTATTCATGTAGAAATAACTCAGGCTCATCAACATTTTCCCAGTTCAAAGCAATATACCTCTTCATAGTGTTGTATCCAGGAACTTCCCTAATGATATAAGCTATCACTGCACTTTTCCACTTCTCCATTTCTAAATCAATTTCAATTTTGTCTAATTGCACTACAATTTGGCAATCAATGATCTGTGGAGGTATGTAAGACAAAGACATACCATTCTCGACTGCTCTATTCCTCTGAAAGAGGTTTGCCTATGGCTTAAGGTTAGCAAATTCTTTCCCATCGAGCTTAGTAATCTCCAAAATCACCGTTCTATTAGCAGCATGAATAGTATTCACTGTTTTATTGCCAGAAATTATTGTTCCCTTACTTGCATGTTGGATATGGGTCTCCTCAGGGATGTTAGCTCCAATTGTTATTGGAGGAGTTTTCAGATCTAGCCTTATTTAAACTCGTCTTCGGCTTCGGTCAAATTATCTGATTGATTGATTAATTTTTTGGACCAAATTTATTTGTGAAATAGTTAAATTAAATTAATATTTTAATCCAAATCGACCGTTTACGTAACGGTAATTTGAATTTCCTCTGGTTTGAGTTTCCTTTTTTTTGCGTAAATAGATAGTACGTAATAGCCGTTTTACGAGAACAGTCATATGGAAGAGTTGCTCCTCTTCGTTTGAACCCAACTTGTTGGCTATAAATATCACGTCACTCCCTCATATTTTTCTTATGAAAATTCTGAAATCTCTTCTTTCTTTCTTTCTTTCTTTCTTTCTTTCTTTCTTTCTTTCTTTCTTTGTGCATTGTTTTCTTACAAAACAAACAAAGTAAGTGTGATTGATACCGCTATTTATGTTCGCTGAAACAATGGGGTTTGAAGTATCGCTACACCAGTGTGTAATCAGTTTTTTTTCCTCCATTTCTCATTCACCTCAGTTTTAACTAAAAATCCAACAATGACCTAGGCTTTACAGTCCAAAGATAGTGTTTAATTTCAAGCATAAAACTCTTACATGTGTAATAAAATCCAATGAACGGGTACAAATTTATCCAATGTATCAAACCAATGAATACAAAACAAGTATCTTGCATATAATCCTTTCAACATGTTATCATGGAAGTAATATGTATATTCACTTTAATTTTTGATTGCTATAATTAATTTGCATAATTTGGTATATACACCGGGTATAAGTCTTGAATAAAATTTACAGTTTAGAGAAGATATGCAATTAGATGCTCGATCGTCTTTTTAGTTGTCCTCGTCAGCGTTCGATATAATGTCTTCTGAATCCTGAATAAAGAACAAGTTAAAATTTCAGATTGTCTTACAGTACTAGTAGCATTAAATTGTGGCTCGATTAAATTTGTATTCGTGTAATCGTGTAAGATAAATTCTACATTAGGGGTAAAGTGCTCCCTAACGAAGGCGAATTTATATTCAAGGCTTGAACCCAGACCTTTGAGTAAGGATTAAAGAATACTTACCACTCTACTACAACCCTCGTTGGCGTTCTGAATTTTTGTGATCATCATGATTATAATGTACATTGGCAAGATTATCCCACTAGCTTTTATAAGAATCAACTGCAAATGCAAGAACCAATAAAGTTGTTAAGCACTAGTAATAGTCTATGTCGCTCAGACTCTTCAATTGTAGCGTAAGGTACGTGTCAAATCCTTCTAGAAAATGCATTTTTAGAGGATCTGATACTGATTGGGAAGCATTTAAGGAAAGTCCTAGCAATATAGGTAGTAGTTAGGGAAATTAAGTACCACGGGACATAAACTGTTGGATTTGTTTAATTAACACTTACAGTAGGAAGTGTAAAGGGATAATCTTTTGCCCCTCCATTGAGCACCATTAACACATGTCTCATCAGAAGTACAATTGTGAACTGCCAATTTTTGATTGTCAACATAGATTTAGCACATGGATTGATACATAGAATATGTTAGGAACTGTATTCAAAATCAGAAAATTAGAGAAGGAAAAAATATTAGTTCAATAAACAAAACATAAAATAATTCTGAGCCCACAAGTTGCTTGTGTGTCCTTAAAAATTTTAATCCCCTCACCGTTGTCCAAGGTTATGGTTTAATTCCTCCCAGGATATAACGGAATTATTATTCTGTGCTAGCGGCACTACAAATCACAGAACTTTGACGAACTCACTAGACGGAGCAAATCACACTTGACACTTATATTTATTTGAAAAATAATGCAACAATATAGAAGAGGGAAGAAGTTTTCAGATTTTCCATGTCTGAAAATTGAGGCCAAGCCACTAAATTTATAGACAAAGAAAAGGTGAGATGGAGAGGTGCAATCCAAAAGGTGCCTCTTCCATTTCTCATTCACACTTTTTAGAAAAACACAACAGAATATACGTAACAGACGCATAAGCATCTACTATCTTTGACTCGCGTTATATATATACGGGGCTTATGTCCCATGCTTCGGGTCTTACACCTCGCCTCATAAAAGGTAAAACGTCTCGCCTCACGGCCCCGCTTTTTATATATAATGATTTCTAATAAGCAAATTAGCTAAACTAAAAATCTTTGATCCACCTCTGAGTTAACAATACAATAGGAAAAAGAGTGCGAGAATAAGTGCTTACAATGAGAAGGGCAGTTCGACAATAAGAGTAATTTCTATCCCTAGTTTGTGAGCATTGACTTTCCAAGATTTCTTCTTCTTCTTCTTCTGCTGATGATTCTGGTTCTGCTTCTGATCTTCTTATAACTTCCAAGCTTCCTCTGTAATTAATTAGTAATTGTTTATACTTATTGCTTTTTTCTTACAAAAAACAAGCTTTGCACCTCACATATTACAGATTCAGAGACGTAGTCAAGATTTGAACTTTATGGGTTTTAAATTCTTAGGATAGTAACATCAGATGTTTAGTAATTGAATTTTGAATCTAACTAGGTAATGGTTTTTGATGAAAAAAATATTGAGACATGTCTCGAGCTAGGTTTGGATGCAGATAGAATTAAGAACCCATAACCACCAAAAAGGATGTGGTGCAGCGGACGGGGCTGCTCTTTCCTTAACCAGAGGTCGGGTTCGAGCCTTGAGTATGGAAAAATCCTTGGTAGGATGTGCTTCCCCCCGAATGGGGTTCTACGCGGCGCGAATCCAGATATAGTGTGGCTCCAATACGAGTACCAAACACTGAGTGAGAAATTAAAAAAAAAAAAAACCCATAAAATGTAAATCGTGATACTGCCTCTATTCTTACTTCCTTCTCTTTTTCTTTAATATTGTGATGAGATAATACCTAATTGTCACTGCTGTGTTATCAACCAAGTAGACCTTCTTAGGGGATGGAACATAGAATCCAGATTCAAATTTCTGCATCATTAAATATTTCATCAGTAAAGTATTTTTGGCCCCTAATAATATTAGATTATACATATTGAAAAAATCAGGGGAAGAAACAAGAACTGGAATTATGACAAGAAAATACGTATTGCGTAACCACTAAGGGATGTAGCGTAATTAATCAGAGGTGTCGAGTTCGATTCCTAGAAAGAAGAAGATTTTGACAAGAAGTGTTTTCCCTATGCACGATGCGAATCTAAGGACCTGTTTGGCCACAAATTTGGTAGCTTGTTTTGATCAATTTTTGAAGGAAAAAAAAAATCAAGTTCCCAAAAACTGCCAGTTTTAGGACAATTTTTGCGTAAAATTTTCGTTCCATATTTTTTCAAATAAAAAATATGTCTAAACACAACTTTCAACACAACTTCAAAAACTCATTTTTCAAGTTTTAACCAAATCTATATCTAAATGCTAGCTAATTAGTCAGATCAATGAGTCGAACGTCGAACGGCTAAGCAAAAAAAAAAAAAAAACCTTTGGAATATTGATAAAAATGAAGAAATTACTTTTGCACCTGTAAACAAATTTCACAAGTTGTATTTCCCTTTTCATTACACCATCTTTGTATACAATCTCTGTGCGCGAACTGATCAAAATAAAAGTCCATATTAGAAATAATATGTGATCATTAAAAGAAATAGTCAAAGAAACCCCATAATAAAAACCAGTTAATTACAGATTAAATTTGGTAATTAAACAGAAGATATGATTAGTGAACAAAAGCAATTAGTTTACCTTGACAGTTCCAGAGCATGCACAAGGAGTTTCTAAGCTCTTTAAGCTTTCAAATTCTTGTTCATGGCAAATTCTACACAAAGATATGGCACCAGAAATTAATTCATCATCCATATTTATTACCACGTCTCCCATCTTCGTCTTGTTTTTCATACAATAATTGTGTCTCTGTCTCTAACAAGTTGAAATCGGCTATAGGGATTCTTACTTCTTTCTTTAAACTCAACTCATATCATTGATCATATTGTTTTTTATAAGCCACGTAGCATATATGTATGTATATATATGAAGTCAATACTGCATTAATTGGGGCCGCTTAAGTTAAGCTATACAGAAAGATACGTCAATTCTAACATGAATTATATAGTACTTATATGATATTTATCTAAAAGTTGTGGTTCTCTCTCTAAGTATAATTAATGATTAAACAGTTGGAAGAACTATCTAATACGTAATTTAGATACATGATTCAGTAACTTTAGCTCAAATAATGTATTAGTGTTAAGAGATTTATTAAATACGTACATATATTAAATTTAAAATCAAATTAGCATTTGAAGTCGTCTTTCTGAAAGTTCAAAATTCATAAAGTTAAAATCCTGACCCCAAAAGAAATGTCACAATATATAATTGACTAGCAATTGCATGCATGTGTGATTGGCAAGTCGTGAAGTCAATGGGGTAAAAACTTAAATAATTTATTGCAAGATTCATTAACGTGGAAATTGAATAAAGGTCTTATTTAGCTTAATAAAGAGAAAATAGAATTAGTTTACTCGGTCAAAGCAAGCTTTTGATGTACGTACATACTCCATTCGTTTAGTTTTGTTTATATGAATATTTGATTTTATTTCACTAATATATGTTATAGGACTTCAAACATTATTATAATATGTTCTTTCACTAATTAACACTGATATAAAAGTAGGGGCGGTCCGACTAGCTTTGTGACCTAAAGCCAAACTTTATGAGGGGCCTTAACTTGTTTATATAATTTTTTATTTATTTATTTGAAGTCTATTTTTCTAGCGTTTCTTAGATACAAAGTTATTAATAATTCCTTTATCGTCAATAACTCCTATTAAGTCTTTCTTAAGTGACAATATAGCTAATCTATTTAACCTTTCTTGAGACATTATTGATTTTAGGTAAGATTTTATCAATTTTAATTTTGAAAATTTCTTTCCGCTGAAGCGACGGTAACAGGAGTTATTAACATTGCTACATAAGTAATATAGGTATTGATAAAAAAAAAAATCAAATCTTTTTATTTGATCGAGTGTATTAGTTAAATCGTTATCTTCTAATTGTACTATTTTTCTTAATATTTTTAATTCTAAAATTAAATCTAAACCATCAATATCGAATTGATTATTATGCTTTAAGGAACATTCAAGATTAAGGGAATATTTCTTCAAATTTTCATCATCAAGTGATCTTAATTTTTACCGCTAAATAGAAAACAAAAAATATTTTCATATGTTTCGAATTGTTCAAATCTATTTTGAAGTGAAAAAAATAGCCTTGTCTACTTTAATCAACTCCGAAGGGCTCTTCGAAGATTTTGAGATGTTATTATCAACATTCTCATTAAATTGTTAATTCCTATATATTACATGTTTCGTATGAAATTCAGGTTCGATATTCATTTCAACTGTAATTTTCTTAGCAGAAATCATAGCGGTTGCAAATCCTTCTTCTTTATATATACTTGTTAAACAAAGAAATCAAATTTTTTACTTCACATAAACTTCTTTTTAAATTTATATATAGCCTATTAGGTGTAACAAAAAATGGGTCCCCCACAAATATGGGGCCTAAAGCAATTAAAGCAATTGCTTTACTTGGTTTATACAAGGACCACCCTTGTATAAAAGTATGACTTAAATTAATATCTTAAACTTCGTATTTATGCAATATTTTCAGATAAAATAGGACAGAGGGAATACCATTTGTGTATCACTTTTTCCTTCCACTTAACATCTAATTGATTATGTTATACCAATTATTCTGAACACCATAATTATTAGTAAAAAATATTAATTTGTACTAGGTGTAGTGACCGAGGTTACATGCTTAAAGGAATAGGAAAGACTTGGAGCCATGTTATTGTTTGCTTGAATTATAAATTGGAAAAATTAATAAAACTTAAAGTAGGGTCATCGACTAAAAAAGGAGAGTTGTGATATCAGAAGCGAATTCAGGATTTGAACCAAAATTATTAAGTTCCGTTGACCAATAATTCTCATGCTAGCTCCGCCCCTACTTATCATAGCTTTCAGCTTCTTGAAAAGTAAAAATTGGTCTCAAGTTTAAACTTTGATTATAACAACGGTATGTATGGGTATTTCAATATTGATTGTCCTTTTATGTTATGTCTACGTTCTCTATCTATTCATTTGTATTTTTTACTTAAATCTAAGATTTTATCTCGATATTTTTACTATATGGGTGTTTGGTATGAAGGAAAATATTTTTCGGAATATGTTTTCCAATTTTTCCATGTTTGGTTGGCTTAAATGTTTTGGAAAACATTTTCCTTACGAACTCATTTTCTTCCAATTGGAGGAAAATGTTTTCCTTATCAAGAGAAGAGAAAACATTTTCTAAAACTCCTTCTCAACCTTCCCTACCCTCACCAACCCACCCCACCCCACCCCCTCTCTCCTAAAAAGATTTTTTTTTCTTTTTCAAATTTTAATTTTTCCGTTACCACCTAAGGGTATCTAACGGGCCGGATCAGCCCGTTTCCTGACCGGCCCAAACCGGTTGAAATCGGAACCGGCCCAGACCGGTACAAGGGGGCCGGGTGGGGCTGGGTTAAAGGGGTAGGGGGTTTGGTCCGTTCACCTATTTTTAACCGGTTAACCGGACCGGTCAAACCCGATCAACAGAAATACTGTAGAACCGGTTAAACCAGCCCGGATCGGACCGGCCCAGACCGGTTAACGGCTAGTTTCTTTTTTTTTTTTTAAAAATTGTTGATTGGGCAGCCCATGTTAACCGTTGGCAACGGTCACCTGCCAAGGAGCCGTTGCCCAACGGCTGATTTGCACAATTAGCCCTTTTTGGGCCTTTTTTTAAAAAAAAAATATTAATACTTTTGTAATTACAAATTTAACCCTTTGAAAAACTGTAAATACACCCCCTCCCCCCCCCCCCCCTCTTCTTCATTTTTTCACTCATCTCTCATTTCTCAATCTCAATTATCATATTCTCTCATTCTTCAATCTTCATCTAAAGTGAAATCAACTATTTGGCTCTTCTTTTTTTTTTTTGGAATTTAATTTATCGTAGTATTTATTATTTGAAGTTTGAACAATTGAACTTCAAAATTGGAACAATTGACGTTTCTTCGTAGTAACATTGGAGTTGCGAAATCATCAAGTGCTCAATTTATTGCCGAATTCGATGCACTCCCTCTAACTCTTTCTCTTATTTACTATTTTATTGGCATATTTAATTGTTGCTAGTAGTTAAATTTTTACAATATGTTTAATGCTGCAAAAAAAATTGTTACTAATCGGGGAAATAAAAAAAGAGGTAGTACTTCAGCATCTGGTAGTAATTTAAATGACTCTACAAATATTCCTGAAACATTACCTGATAATAATATAGATTATGAACAATTCCAGGAAGACTTCGGTATAGAAGATAATGAATTAGAAATGGAAGATGAGATACCACTTACACCTAGTAGTGTTAGAGCTGGTAGCAGGGGTGGTGGTCGTGGTGGTAGTAGTAGACCACCTGTGGTCCCGACTAGTAATCGGAGAAAAAGAAGTAAGGTTTGAAAATTTTTTGACGAAATAGAAGGTACTGATAGAGTTAAATGCAAACTTAGTAAAGATACTTTTAAACGTAAGACTGGAGGACAATTAGGGGGGACTGGGACACTACACTTAGTAGACATATGAGAATTGAGCATCCTATAGAATGGGGCTCTGATAAAGATGGAAATCAAGCAACTCTAAACCCTATTACTGGAGGTCTTATGAAATATGATAAAATGAAAGATCGTGAGGAGTTAGCAAAAATGATTGCTTTGGGTTATCTACCTTTTTCTTTTGCTTCTTCGTCATATCTTATTATGTATATTCAAAGGATTTACAATCCTTTATTTAAAAGTATCTCTAGAAGTACTTGTAGATCTGATATCTTTAGACTTCATGGACAATATCAAACATACATACGTTATTTGTTTAGCCACCTTCCTTGTAGAGTTTCTCTAACTTCAGATATTGGCCATGCTGTTAATGGAAATAATTATTTGACAATTACATGTCATTGGATAGATGATAATTATTGTATGCAAAAACGTATTATCGCTTTTAAATATGATGAAGATCAGAGTCATACTGCTGCGTTTATAAGTACTACTATTTGTGAAGTTGTTGAATTTTATAATCTCAAGCAAAAAGTATTGTGTATGTCTTTTGATAATGCTTCTAACAATAATGCCGCAATTTCAATATTAAAACTGCATTTGCAACCACCACTTGCCGAAATTTTTCATGTTAGGTGTGCATGTCATGTTTATAATTTAATTGTTAAAAGTGGCCTTGATTTATTTTCAACTGAGATTACTCATGTTAGAAGAGCAGTTGGCGTTATTCAAGGAAATAATAGACAATCTAGAATAAAGGAATTTAAGAATAAGTGTATCCAGTATAACCTTAAACCCAGATTCATGCCAGACGAAATTGTTACTAGATGGAATTATACATATATATTTTTAAAATGTTGCTACAAATATAGATTCCCAATAACTGAAGTTGCTAATGCGCATTGTACTGATCCAAACCGTATGTTAACAACTACTACTTGGGAGGTCATTAATGATATGTAAATTTTACATAATTTATACNATCTTCTTCCCCACACCCCATAGACGAATTCTGAAGAGCTTTTCCTCCATAACTTCATAGGTGAGTGTTCCTAACCTCGTTTTCTCTTGATTTCTTCAGCTAATCACTAATTTCTAAGCCTAAAAACATTAAATCAAAGTAGAAATTAGGGATTTTGGGTAGAGTTAGGTTTTTGGGAATTTTGGGTGATTCAACCTCAATTTGGGGTCGAATCTTAAGATAAATTATATATTTGAACTCGTGGGGTTATGGGTGATCGGGTTTTGGTCCGAGCCTCGTGTTTGGACCATGTGGGCCCGAGGTCGAATTTTTGTATCTTTGGAAGAATGCTAGGAACTTCATATCAAGGCTATGGGATTTTGTTATT